TCCCATTGATCGATCCTCCTCGATCCGTATAAAATATATACACAATACGAAACCGCGTTATCCCCAAAGATCCCGATGTCTGATCGGCTTAAATCGCGGTAACGGCCCCGCTCGTTAATCCATTATTCAACGAGCGGATCGCGCCCTATGTGATGCGGTATCACAGTGAGAATGTGTAATAATTCGGCGTTAAGGGGAAGGGGGTCGCGATCGATCCCCCCGGGCGGCGATGGGAATCGGCTGACAGCCGTGCGGCGGGCGTATCAATTTCGCGGCCGAGCAGAACGTGGAAAGAGAGACGATCTTCCCCGCGTCTTGCTCGCCCGTTCCTAATTTATATGCACAAGTTGATGCTGCATTTGCCTATTAATAATCTAGAACTAATTAATCTAAGGAGGCTGTGTGAACAAGTGGTTGAGAACTCAACAGAGGGAGCCACGGCGTTAATCACTCCATCAGGGAGGTTCAAGTGATTCTCAAGGCCGTTGAATCTTTTTTATTGATAAAATCGCAGTTACAAAGAGAGGGAAAGGTTTTTTTTTTGAAGCATCGTGAAGATTTTGTCACTTGAATTTTGTAGTTTTCTTTGATCTAGTGTTTTCTAAAAAAAAGAGAGAGGGAATTATTGGAGATTAATTTAGGTATTTCTTGGAAAGCGATTGGCAAAATGATGATGAAATTTTTGAGATGTGGAAAATTTTGAAGATAAGGAAAAAGGATGGAAAACGCTATTTTAATCTTCGATGCTTCACTTTGGAAATTGGAGAATTTCAAAAGACGAAATAATTTTCGATGGAATAATTATAATTATATCAATTAGAAGATGAAATTATTATTTTTATAATTGAAGTATCAAATTATTGGGTTATCAAATTTTGAAGAACACGTGACGTAACACCGTGGCTCTTTCAATTTTTTGAAAAAATGAACATGATCGATATATGCAATTAATGCCTCTGTGTTATCGTAATTCATGTAAATCAAAATATACGAAACAAAAAAAAAAAACACGCACGAGCCGACCAGTTATTTTTTCCCTTTTTTCAACCTGTTCTCGTACTCTTGAGAGCTAAAAAAGGAAAAACTCGATGCTTATTGAGAGAATGAGAGGGAAAACACCGATCGACTCGTGAAAGAAAATATATCTACGGTCTTAGGATCGAAAAATTTTGTGGGAAGAATATAGTATACGTATAATAGACAGATCTATCTATAATGTATAAAATATGTACAAATGAGAAATATGTAAATTTACAAATAGTACTGGAATAAGAAATACTGGGACTCAAGAAAACGCATGCACTTCAGGGACTTCGATAAACTATATATATATATATATATAATATATAACTATATATGTGTAGTTAAGTATGTGTGATAGAGTTGTACGTATAATATATGAAAGATTATTTTAACCCTTTCGAGATTAATAAAATAAAAAGATGCATTATAAAACAAATTATTTATTTTTAACGAATTATTAATAAAAAAATTTGAAAATTCTCTATCTTTTCTTTTTAATTATATTTCATTGCTAAAAGAGTCTGGAAAGAGTTAAGATGCGAAGCAACATTGGGATAATAATTACGTACCCTCGACGAATTAAATCTATATATATTCTTTAAAAAATCGTCAAAAAGGGGAGGGGGCAAGGGCGCGCGTAAATTCAATTTACGCATTCGAAGATAGTCACGGGTTTTCTGAAACATTCTCAAAATCTTAGTTCCTTTCCACTCGGGAATCGATTCACGATTTCACGATTCTATTCGATCCAACGATTTGTATCAACGAGTTTCAATGTCTCTGCTTGAAAGAGGAACCCGAAGTCTTTCACGCGACTTCCCAGGACTCGTCCCGTCCCTTCTAATTTTCGAGCGATCCGATCGTGAGATATTGACGATCCGAAACAGGAACGAGGTTTTAAAGTACCGCGGCTTAACCTCCGCGGTTGGACGGCCACGTGTAATTGCAATTCGAATGTATCGGATTACGCGAACGTATTGCGTGTATCACGAATTAACTCGATTTTATCGGTCTCAATCCCTCTTCTGTGGGCAAAAATAATGTCGGAATATCGGTTTGCGAAATTCGATTCGTATTATTCGATCATTTTTCGAAATGATATTTACAGTATTTTGGTGTTGATTACGATTACGATTAATTTGTAATCGATAGGGAGTTAAATTTTTGAACTTTTTGTGTTTAATATTTTGACTGATTTTTACGTTTTTTTTAATTCCATTGGAAAAGGTTCTCTTAAATTTTTAACGAGAGAGAAATTTTAAATTGTAAAATCATCAACTAATAAATATAACTTTTATCAGAGTATCAGAGTTTCTTGCGATATATAAATTTTTCCATATAATAATAGTGATTAATTTTGTACCAAATGAATTAAGTTTTATGAGTAAATTAAATCATCCAATTATTTTATTTAATATTAAATTTGATATAAAAGAGGAAATTATATCCTACTTTTTATAATTTATTAATTCGATAATATGTTATTGTGAGAAATGATTTAGATCATAACAATAATAAATTATCAATATCATTATATTTGAATACCAAACAAAATACATTTTAGCAAAAACTTATTAAATTAAATATATATAGTCGAATTGATTTTTAAACGTTAAACCAATACTAATGTTTCACGAATAAAAGTTCCATTTCACATTTCCTTATACCAATTGCAAAGACAAATTATTTTCCATCATAAATAGAAACACACAATAGAAAACGATATTCACTCCCTTTTGTTACCCTTTCTCCCATCGTAAGCACTGTCCAAATATTAATCAGCAATGTTTGACAGCAATAAAACCGAGCAATTCGTGATACACGTACGATGACAGAAACGAAGACCGAAATTACGTTTATCTCTATCGATTAAACCCGGATGTACAACATTCTACCGTTGATCGTGGATTAAACGAGTTTCACGAATGCAACTCGAATCTTTTAGACAACTCGCAGAAATTAAATTTACACCGAGATCCGCTCTGGTTTCATCGAACCGACGAATTTTCTCGCGACACGAAAATTCTTCTCCGTTTTCATCCTTCTTTTTCCTCCGTATTTCATTCTTTATTTCCCGGACCGTGAACAATTTTAATGAAATAAATTTAATTCGATCGAAATAATTTTCATTCGCGGAATACGTTTTTCTTTTTTTTTTTTTTTTTTTCTTTTTTTTCTTTTTACGCCGTGGAGGAATTCATTGGATTTTTACATCGTCCGCGGGAATAATTAGATTCGCTGATCGATTCATCGCGCGGGACCAAATTACCTATGCAAATGCGGCAAGATTGGGTTACCTGTTGTACATGAGAATGTCTGGCTTCCAGAGCTTGTTTGGTGTAATTCGAAGGTCCTTTACACCTCCGTACTCGGACTCGTTCCATTGGAGGTTGTAGTCCACCCATTCCTGAAACATTGAATAATTATCGTCAGTGAAATAAGTTTTTTTTTTGGAATACGTATCGCGTTTTATTAATTCTTTGCGCGAGAATATTCGCAAATTGATGGTAGAGGATTCGTAGAGTTTTAAATGATAATGCGTACGCTCGTCCACGAGATTAAAAAAAATTGGCAATCTCTGAAAATTGGAGAAAAAAAGTTTGTACAATACTCTCTCTCTCTGGCTCCATTTCAAAGGATGAAACCTCTACTTTTGATTGAATTTTTTAAAGAGGGAATGTTTTTATATTTTTTATACAATTTTTATTTTATACAATTAGGATGAAAAATATATTTTTAAAAATTTCACCGATTTAAATGTCTTTAATTTTTTTAAAACAATTTTTCAATTATTCCTTTTTACAAATCGTTCATTTGTAGAGAAAAGTGATCCTCTTTATAGTGATTTTTAAAAAGTTGATGAACTTTTTTTCATTGTGGTACATTGAGTTTCATGTACATATATTTATTAATGGTTCGTGTATATTTAATAAGAGTTTACTATATATTTACTGGATATTTATTTAATGTGAATAATGTAATTTAAACGATGCATCATTTAAAAACAATGCCAAATGATAATAATATTAATAAACAGATTTATAAATAGAAAATATCCTGATTTACACGTGCTTTAATTAATTTCCTATCTAAATAAAATTTACACGTTGAAACCATGATCAATATTTAATTATTTATTAATATCGATTATTCAATCATAACTTAATATTATCTTATAATATCCTTTGATGAAACACGAATATGATTAATTCTAACAAAAAAAAATAACGTGCCTTACAATTCACACACATATATTTATAACAAATTAAAGAATATAATCTATTTAAAAGAAAAATTCAGTTTAATTTTACTTCACATATAAATGTCCATTATCGGAAATAATTTCAGAAAGAATATCAATTTTCCGTAACACGCAGAGGATAATGAAGCACGAAGAATTACGAAATTAATTAATTAAATCCTTGAAAAGAAAAAACTAATAAAATTAATTATTCAGATACATTCTTTTTTTCCCCTTTCGTTTCGAAAACGATTCAAAAGCCTTGGTGGGATAAACACGCGATCAAATTGAATTCGACGACGTAATTTCGACCGTGAATTTCATCGTCGAACTGTTCTCCACTTTTGAGAGAGATAACCGTGGATCCTTTCATCTTTCTTTGATTGCCTAGGCTTGAAGAATGGGCTCGGAAAACGGCTAAAGCTTGAAGGCATCGTGTATACGAGCAATCCACAAAGCGCGCCGAGATTCGAGGAGATAAATTTGCTAAGAGCTCTAGGTAGAACAGCGGAAATCGGTGCTGGTGAATTACAGCCGAACGACAAGACGCTTCAAAGAGCTCGGATAATTGTTATTGTTTCGAGCCTCGAAAATATCGCGAGAACGTTGAATGGACCATTCTAAATGTAAATTGCCTAAACATCCTCTTTGTGCCTTTTGTTTCGTCTCGACAAGGGGGACGGATTGAAGCGAAACGCAATTAAAAATAACACCAAGACCGATGATATTGAGATTGAAAAAAAAAAAGAAGCCGTTTTAATTGGATTTGTTTGTCCTTTGTAAGATAAGTTCTTAAGAAAAAAGAAGGTTCGAAGGTTTTCCATTTTTTTTTTAAAGCTTAAAACTTATTTCAGAAATTGAACGAATTTATAACGATTAAAAATAATATACAAATTTTTATTTTTTAACGATACAAGCATGGAGTGTTCGCCTAAAGACGTTAAAAAAATTAAAGAAAATTTATAAATTAATTAAACTCAAACCAGATTAATTAAACTTACATTTAAGATTCAACTTACATTTAAACAAATGGCTTAAGATAACAACTTAAATCAATCTTCTACCATTAATAAAATTATCATATGTTTTCACAAATAAAGATATATTAAAATTAAAGAATTAACTTTATTTCAATTTCATGGATTTTGATTGATAATAAGATTATTATTCTTGCATAAAATCTACACTTTTACTTCTCACTCTATCTAGACAGAGACAACAAATTCACTTCGAAGACATTAATATCTCGCGAGATTGAGTCAGTGTCAAAACGAAAACCGCAAGCCAAACGAAGGAAATGGACACGGGCAAAGGGCTTAGGGTGAACCACGCGGCCGGTGGTTGTGTATATTTAAACGAAGCGACTTTCGAGGAATGCGGCGACCTGGTTTCACGACCTGGTGGTGTGCAAGTTGCGCATAGAAAACGCGGTGTTTTATAATGTATACTTCAATTTCCGGGTCCGGGCGGCCGAGTCTCGGCGTTTGCTCATTAGATTACGCGGGTGAATTGCACAAACGAGGAATTCAGAGGGTGAAAGTTCGCCTTCGCGGGGGTGGAGACGCGTCTGCCCGCGGAGATTTTCGAGTTCCTTTCCCTGGCGATACGCTAGCTTCCTGTGAGCCGTGGAAACGAGGCGTAACGAACGTTTCTTTCTTTCTTTCTTTTTTTTTTTTCTCAGTACTGAAATAAAATTTCGTCTCAACGGCTCACCGACCGTTTTCTATTTACTGGCAACTGGAGCTTCCGGAAGGAGTTTCAGAGATTAAAGGATCGCTTTCCCTTTTTTCCTTCGCTTTTGTCTCTTTCTTTTCCCTTTACTTTTCTTCTCTGTCTCTCTCTCTTTCTCTTTTTCTCTTCTTCATTTCATCCGACGTTTCTTTCTTCATTTTCTGATTTTTCGGTTTTCATCCGTGAAGAAACGTTGAAGGATTTTTACCTTTTAATCTTACGCTCTAAGGTATGTTTTCATTTTCTCGAGAAGTTGAAAGCTTATTCCATCTTATGTTATTATGTCATGTTCCATCACGTGATGGTTAAAGTTCATTCCTGAATTCATTTCTCAACAGAATCATCTTTATATCTTATGATGTAAGAGTTGAATAGAATAGAGAAGGAAAAATTAAATAATCCATAGATATCACTTAGTTAATCGTTTAGTTGACTTTACTTAGACTATTTGATCATGATTGATTTGTTCTATTCATGCAATTTCATTTTTGATATTTATTTTACACAATATATTTAAAAACAATTTTTATTTCTCTCTATATGGATTATTTACATAATCCATATAAAGAGAAATAAAAATTGTTTTGTAATTGTAATATAATAATATCTTAGTTAAGAAAAAATTGCAAATTAAAAATTATTTTATTTTCTGAGATCAAATGATTAGCTTTTGTGAAATTTATATATATCAAAATATAATTAATGTACACCAATGTATTTTTGTATTATTTAATTTCTGATAAATTTTAATTAACTTTTTTTTAATAACTAATTTAGAATTAATTAATTTCGATAAGAATTGATTAAAATTTATCAAGATCCAAAAAATGCACAATTTCATCATATATGATTTATGTGCTTTATGCATGACTATGCTACATAGTAGTTTTGTATATTTTCTTGCACAAGATAGATGATATTTTTCGTATAAAATGAACAGAAAGGATTTTCATATTTCAAAACTTTTTGAATTTTTGTTTTTATAAAAAGAATTTGGTCATTTATCACTTTTCGAAACTTACAACAAGTTTACAGTATCATTTATAGATAACAATAATAATAGAAATATAGAAATGATATATTAATTTCTCATAATAAATTATTAATATATATCTGATTATATAATGTTAATTTATATTTATAGTTACTACTTATATATATATATATACACATAAGCAGCTATACAGCTAGAGTCAAATGAAATTATTTTTTTCAATTTCATGAAAAATACTTTCACAATTGCATTATAGTCTTCTGAATAATCAACTATTTTATTCAAAGATTTTCTTGTCAATTTTTTTATTAAAAACTGCCTTTTAAAATTTCGATTTTCAATTTAGTAGTAAATGTGGTAAGCCCTATATAAGATGATCTTTTTGTAATCACCAAAGTATAGTTATATAATATTTATGGTGTATAGTACAATACCTATATAATGCCTCTTTAGAATCTCAATCCCTTCTTGATATCCAAGCACATGCAGGACTAGTCAAAGAAGAATTATCGAAGAAGAAGGGGAAAAAACAAGAGCTAATATATATACGAGATTCTTTCTGAATTTCTTTACAAGTTTCTTATTTTATGGTTATTCTTACGTATGAGCAGATTTTTAAAAAACAAATCATTCTTTGCAATAGAAAGAAAAATTTACAATAAATATTTTGTTAAATGTAACTAGGATTAAAAATAAGGAAAATTGGATTAAATTTATATTTTGTAAAATCATATTATATTAAGAATTAATAAAAAGTTTCACGACAAAATAATTATTTTTAACAAAATAAAAAAAATTTGGAGTAAAATGACAAAAATTCTAAGTTTCTAAGAAATCGCTATAAGTGTTTTTGTAAAATATTAGAAGACTTTTGGTCTCAGGTGTTTTCCATAAAATGTGTAAGAAAAGTTTGAAGGAAACGATTGAACCTCACTGTGGATGATTATAGGTAAGAATATTACAAGTTTCTACACAATGTCTGTGCTAAACAAAGTTTGAACGATATCTTTGTTTATATAATAAGTGAAGAACGAGAGTATGTTTTCTATCTTAGAAATTTTAAGGTAAGTGTTTAAATTAGTCTCTAAATATGAATTAAAAATATTTGCAACTTTTCGTGTTGAATAATAAAATAAATATTTGATATGTTTATAGAAATATAATTTCCTATAATATTATATTATATTAATGTCATTTATTTATAGTAATATTGAATTTCTTGTAATAATTTATATAATATACAATTTTATTATTAGTATTATTTAATAAAATTTATTTACATATTAATACTTTGTTACTAATATTAATATAATTAACTAAATTTGATAAATATTTTTCTTTACTCCTAACATTATTGATAGAGTTTGTTCATTATTTAATTGATTAAAATTTGATTAAATAAAATTGATTTTCTTGATTTTAAATATAATTTTTTTAATAA